CTCATCCAGATCTAACGTCCGTGGAAGAATCCAAGCTCGTGGCTCAACGCCTTCATGGTTAAAATCCGGTTTAAATGACGGGGAACCGCATAACGTCGCGAAAATAAAAACCCACGAATTCCAAAGTATGTGCAAAATGTAGAGCTCATCCAGATCTAACGTCCGTGGCAGAATCCAAGCTCTTGGCTCTTTAACTTCATGGTTAAAATCCGATTTAAATGACGGGGAACCGCATAACGTCGCGAAAATAAAAACCGACGAATTCCAAAATATGTGCAAAATGTAGAGCTCATCGAGATCTAACGTCCGTGGAAGAATCCAAGCTCGTGGCTCTTTAACTTCATGGTTAAAATCCGGTTCAAATGACGGGGAACCGCATAACGTCGCGAAAATAAAAACCCAAGAATTCCAAAGTATGTGCAAAATGTAGAGCTCATCGAGATCTAACGTCCGTGGAAGAATCCAAGTTCGTGGCTCTTTAACTTCATGGTTAAAATCCGGTTTAAATGGCATGGCACATATTCATGGCACATATTTTGGAATTCGTCGGTTTTTATTTTCGCGACAATATGCGGTTCCCCGTCATTTAAATCGGATTTTAACCATGAAGTTAGAGAGCCAAGAGCTTGGATTCTGCCACGGACGTTAGATCTGGATGAGCTCTACATTTTGCACATACTTTGGAATTCGTGGGTTTTTATTTTCGCGACGTTATGCGGTTCCCCGTCATTTAAACCGGATTTTAACCATGAAGGCGTTGAGCCACGAGCTTGGATTCTTCCACGGACGTTAGATCTGGATGAGCTCTACATTTTGCATATACTTTGGAATTCGTGGGTTTTTATTTTCGCGACGGTATGCGGTTCCCCGTCATTTAAACCGGATTTTAACCATGAAGTTAAAGACCCACGAGCTTGGATTCTGCCACGGACGTTAGATCTGGATGAGCTCTACATTTTGCACATACTTTGGAATTCGTGGGTTTTTATTTTCGTGACGTTATGCGGTTCCCCGTCATTTAAACCGGATTTTAACCATGAAGGCGTTGAGCCACGAGCTTGGATTCTTCCACGGACGTTAGATCTGGATGAGCTCTACATATTGCATATACTTTGGAATTCGTGGGTTTTTATTTTCGCGACGTTATGCGGTTCCCCGTCATTCAAACCAGATATTAACCATGAAGTTAAAGAGCCACGAACTTGGTTTCTTCCACGGACGTTAGATCTGGATGAGCTCTACATTTTGCGCATACTTTGGAATTCGTGGGTTTTTATTTTCGCGACGTTATGCGGTTCCCCGTCATTTAAACCAGATATTAACCATGAAGTTAAAGAGCCACGAACTTGGATTATTCCACGGACGTTAGATCTGGATGAGCTCTACATTTTGCACATACTTTGGAATTCGTGGTTTTTTATTTTCGCGACGTTATGCGGTTCCCCGTTATTTAAACCAGATATTAACCATGAAGTTAAAGAGCCACGAACTTGGATTATCACACGGACGTTAGATCTGGATGAGCTCTACATTTTGCACATACTTTGGAATTCGTGGGTTTTTATTTTCGCGACGTTATGCGGTTCCCCGTCATTTAAACCGGATTTTAACCATGAAGTTAAAGAGCCACGAGCTTGGATTCTTCCACGGACGTTAGATCTCGATGAGCTCTACATTTCGCACATACTTTGGAATTCGTGGGTTTTTATTTTCGCGACGTTATGCGGTTCCCCGTCATTTAAACCGGATTTTAACCATGAAATTAAAGAGCCACGAGCTTGGATTCTGCCACGGACGTTAGATCTGGATGAGCTCTACATATTGCATATACTTTGGAATTCGTGGGTTTTTATTTTCGCGACGTTATGCGGTTCCCCGTCATTCAAACCAGATATTAACCATGAAGTTAAAGAGCCACGAACTTGGTTTCTTCCACGGACGTTAGATCTGGATGAGCTCTACATTTTGCGCATACTTTGGAATTCGTGGGTTTTTATTTTCGCGACGTTATGCGGTTCCCCGTCATTTAAACCAGATATTAACCATGAAGTTAAAGAGCCACGAACTTGGATTATTCCACGGACGTTAGATCTGGATGAGCTCTACATTTTGCACATACTTTGGAATTCGTGGTTTTTTATTTTCGCGACGTTATGCGGTTCCCCGTTATTTAAACCAGATATTAACCATGAAGTTAAAGAGCCACGAACTTGGATTATCACACGGACGTTAGATCTGGATGAGCTCTACATTTTGCACATACTTTGGAATTCGTGGGTTTTTATTTTCGCGACGTTATGCGGTTCCCCGTCATTTAAACCGGATTTTAACCATGAAGTTAAAGAGCCACGAGCTTGGATTCTTCCACGGACGTTAGATCTCGATGAGCTCTACATTTCGCACATACTTTGGAATTCGTGGGTTTTTATTTTCGCGACGTTATGCGGTTCCCCGTCATTTAAACCGGATTTTAACCATGAAATTAAAGAGCCACGAGCTTGGATTCTGCCACGGACGTTAGATCTGGATGAGCTCTACATTTTGCACATACTTTGGAATTCGTGGTTTTTTATTTTCGCGACGTTATGCGGTTCCCCGTTATTTAAACCAGATATTAACCATGAAGTTAAAGAGCCACGAACTTGGATTATCACACGGACGTTAGATCTGGATGAGCTCTACATTTTGCACATACTTTGGAATTCGTGGGTTTTTATTTTCGCGACGTTATGCGGTTCCCCGTCATTTAAACCGGATTTTAACCATGAAGTTAAAGAGCCACGAGCTTGGATTCTTCCACGGACGTTAGATCTCGATGAGCTCTACATTTCGCACATACTTTGGAATTCGTGGGTTTTTATTTTCGCGACGTTATGCGGTTCCCCGTCATTTAAACCGGATTTTAACCATGAAATTAAAGAGCCACGAGCTTGGATTCTGCCACGGACGTTAGATCTGGATGAGCTCTACATTTTGCACATACTTTGGAATCCGTGGGTTTTTATTTTCGCGACGTTATGCGGTTCCCCGTCATTTAAACCGGATTTTAACCATGAAGGCGATGAGCCACGAGCTTGGATTCTTCCACGGACGTTAGATCTGGATGAGCTCTACATTTTGCATATACTTTGGAATTCGTGGGTTTTTATTTTCGCGACGTTATGCGGTTCCCCGTCATTTAAACCAGATATTAACCATGAAGTTAAAGAGCCACGAACTTGGATTCTTCCACGGACGTTAGATCTCGATGAGCTCTACATTTTGCACATACTTTGGAATTCGTGGGTTTTTATTTTCGCGACGTTATGCGGTTCCCCGTCATTTAAACCAGATATTAACCATGAAGTTAAAGAGCCACGAGCTTGGATTCTGCCACGGACGTTAGATCTGGATGAGCTCTACATTTTGCACATACTTTGGAATTCGTGGGTTTTTATTTTCGCGACGTTATGCGGTTCCCCGTCATTTAAACCGGATTTTAACCATGAAGTTAAAGAGCCACGAGCTTGGATTCTTCCACGGACGTTAGATCTCGATGAGCTCTACATTTTGCACATACTTTTGAATTCGTGGGTTTTTATTTTCGCGACGTTATGCGGTTCCCCGTCATTTAAACCGGATTTTAACCATGAAGTTAAAGAGCCACGAGCTTAGATTCTTCCACGGACGTTAGATCTGGATGAGCTCTACATTTTGCGTATACTTTGGAATTCGTGGGTTTTTATTTTCGCGACGTTATGCGGTTCCCCGTCATTTAAACCGGATTTTAACCATGAAGATCAGCTCAAAAGTTAAAATAAATGTCATATTCGTGTTCAGCATGGTCAACTTAACCCATGCCATGAATCTGAAGTGATTTGGAATTCGTCGCTGAATACGTATACGTATACGTCGCTAAGTTCACGGACATACGTCACATCTGGGCCACAACTGGGGCGAGGTCCATGACCATCGGTCCCAGAAACTTGGTAGGAGCGTTGATAATTGGTTCTGACTACTGAAGCAAAGGCAAGTGAATCAGTGACAACCGACAATCCTTTCGTGAGTTCTGATTGAACTGGATCGATCCGTCCTGGCTTCCTGAGCAAGGAAGTCGATCAGACCTATAGGTAAGTTGGATAATAGTGATTTATTTTGTGTTGTTGTGTCACTGAAATGTGTTGATGCTTTGTAATGCCCAGAGGCCGTTTTAGTTTCTAACACTCTAGCCTCATTTTCAATTTTTTAGGCCTTCAAAGGTGATGAGAAGACGTAAAAATATGGTACCTACTGTTTCAAGATGACTTGTAAAAAAAAAATCGTGACAGCTAGACATCGCGTAGGTGACAGCTTTTGAGTTTTATTCACCTCTGTTGACCATGATTGGACGAGACGTGGAGGGGAAACCCGGCAGATCCCCGACGTTTGCGCTGTGACACTGAGCGGAAATGGCCATTGGGATGGGTTCCGTGAGGCCGAGGGTGAGCTCATTCGATAGCTTCGATTTGTGAATGCGTGAAATTCAATGAAGATGTAGATCGAGCCGTCACATGTGTTCAGCTCAACGATACGGATGGACTGATATGAAATATGACCCTTTCCGGTCAGATCATGACCTTGAACTAAGGTCAACTTTTAAAAATGACCTTTTAAGGTCAGCTTATAGCTCATTCGACGCGTCTCGACGAGAGGAACATGATGCTGGCAAGCGTAATCTCGTGGCTCTCTTGAGTCAAGTTATTAAAAAAACATTTTTTTTTTCGTAAAAACGGATAATTTTTAGTTTATACCCTCTAGAGGCTAAAACCGTTGACCTGAGGTCAAATCTGAGACCAATGCTCAGAAAGGTCTGTGAATAATGTATGAATGTCTAAGAATTAGCTGATCTGCCGACCCGAGCCAAACATCTGAGCCGAGCGTCTGTTGACGGACGGAGCGGACCGCGCTCCCGGATGCAGACGGGCTAACTCGCAATAGTGCTGATAGCGAGGGGGCTGGTCTGTGTCACTGACCACTTCCAGTCGTATCAACACGAACAGGCGCGTCATGGGCACTGTAAAGGAGAGCACTCCCGACTGAGGGGACAGTCTGCCACCCAGCGCCGTCCAGGGTGGTGCCGTGGTGGGTAGAACCGCTCATCGCCAGCTGCAGGAAGCATCTGGAACGCAGGCTGTGAGAGCCAAACAGAAGATGAGACTGCCTCCCCTCCTGATAATTGCCGCCACGCTCGGTAAGCCTCTAGCAGTGAGAGCTTGATAGGAGTTCGACTATCATACCATTACATATATGGCCTGACGTCTCGGAAAATTCGGCTTACCTATACCTACAAAAGCTGATTTCTTACCTTACTCGCGAAGATGTGCACTCTACGCGTAAAGAAGGTCGTAAGATGCCTTCAAGACTGCGCCTTTCCCAGACAGTGACTTTGACTGAATGCCACACTGTCACAGCAATGGCCCGGTTAAAAAACGATGAGAACGACCCCGTGACGATCATCGCGACCATCGTGACGACGATCGCGACCCCGTGATAGATATATCTAGCAGTGACCCTGATTGACCCCATGACACAGGCAGTGACCCTGATTGACCCTATGACACAGGCAGTGACCCTGATTGACCCTATGACACAGGCAGTGACCCTGATTGACCCCATGACACAGGCAGTGACCCTGATTGACCCCATGACACAGGCAGTGACCGTGACCCCGCGTTTAAGCAATAAACGTGACTCCGTGACAAATCAGTGACTTTGACCTGTGGTATGGGAGTGACCTTGACCCGTGACGTGGCAGTAACCGTCACACCTAACAAATCAATGACTTTGACCGCATGTCAAATCAGGGACTTTGAATCGTGACACAGCTGTGACATTGATCCCGTGACCTTGTCAGTGACCGTGACCCCGTGACATACCATAGGTCGCACAGTGAAATAATTCAACCGTGTTTCCTGATTGCTAGTGACCTATTCGGTCACTGAGGGCTTGACCCAGTGACCCATCAGTGACCTGCGACCCGTGTCACAGGCGGAGCATGGGCTGGCGCCTGTGGCGAGCAGGAGCACGGCCGGCTTCCGCCTCTGCTGGTCACCTCTGCCGAGACGCCCACGGTTTACGCCTGGCCTGAGCAGAAGGTCGAGCTCCACTGCCGGCCGTCCCAGGCCGGCGGCTGTCGGTGGCTGAAGGACTCCAGAGAGCTGGGCACCGAGTGTCGTCTGAGCACCACTGAGCGGGGCACGATACGGTGTGTTCGCGGAGAGGAGACGTGCGGCGCGATCACACTGAAAAACCCGAAAAATCAGCAGGTCGAACACACCCACGTCTCTGATTACGACCGCCGTCGTTACTACTACAGACGCCAAAATCAATATTGGGACTACAATGGAGAGACTCGATGGAACCGCAAGCCCTCGACGTTCCTATGCTCGCGGTCGGGCACCATCATTCTCAAAAGCAAGGCGTGTGATGGTACCAGACACTGTGGCAAAGGTGAAGACGAATGGCACTGCTCGCCGCCCTGTGGACCACCATTTGTGAGCGAGCACACCAGGCTCTCCGATCCAAAGGAGGAGTATCCGGACGGCAGTCATGCCACTTACACCTGCGAGAGCGGCTTCAATCTGGCCGAGTCTCTGAGCGGGCTGCGAAGGACGTGCCGCGCCGGCCGGTGGGACGGGGTCGCGCCCGTCTGCCGGCGCAATGTCGCCCTGGGACAGCTCATCACCGTCACTGGCTTGCCGATGACGGACTGCAAAACCGCCGTGGATGGCTCGCTGGACACCTGGTGCATGCTGGCACCCAGCGACGGCCCCCAGGCGCTGACTGTCCACCTGGAGGATAACGCGACTGTAGATAGGGTGCTGGTGCGTGCCCTTGGTACACGCTACACCGTGGCGCTGCAGCCGGTAAACCAGACCGATGGTGAGGTGGAGTGTTCGTGTCGGGACCTGAACAGCGGCAAGATAACGCCAACAGTCTCCGGAGTGCGAGTCTGCGTCTGCCCCGAGCCAGCGTCGAACGTCGAGCGGCTCCAGGTGCGGGTGTCGGCCGAGAAGGGCGCCTTCCTGGCGCTCTCAGTGGCAGACATCGTAGTACTGGAGAGGTCCGACGATGATGAAGGGGGCGAATGTGCACTTCTTGGTCAACCAGCGCACGGACGTTACGAGCCAGCACAGACGGGCACTGTCAAACTCTCGTGCGACCCAGGCTACAGCCCGTCCTGTTCCGACCCTGTCCGGTGCTACGACCTACAGAGCGGTACCGCCCGCCTTAGTTGCTTGGCCGCAAAATGTCCGTCCCCGCCCGCCATCCCCAACACCAAGACCGGCCCGAAGGACGGCACCGGCTGGCGCTCTGTGGTCGAGTATAGCTGCTCCACCGGTTACACCCTGTACCCGTCCGAACAGAACACTACCTCGACATGCGGCTCGGACAGCCTCTGGTCGCTCGGACACGTCTCCTGTGTCTCCGAGACCGATATCCGCGTGGTGGCCATGCGGCTGGGCGAGCAGCACGAGCGCAGCATGGCCGCACTGCGCGCCGAGCTGGAGACCCTGCTGATGGGCCAGCGCCAGCTGCTGGCTGACCAGAACAGCACCCAGCAGCGGCTGAGCAAGCTGGAGCGCGAGGTGGCGCTGCTGGCACTGGCCGAGGGAGCGTACCTGCCCGCTCAGGAGAGAGATCCGACGGAGGACGCTACCGAGCCCGCTCCCGAGGAGGAGGGTGTGACACAGACTCCAGAGACAGTCACAGACCGCGCCATGGTCACCAGGCCCGAGCAGGAGCCGGCCGGCGCCGCGGACTCCGAGGAGCTTAGAGAAGGAGCAACTGAGACGACCCCCCGGCAGTCGCCAGCCATGGAGCTGATCCGTCAGATCAGCTCCAGCTGAAGCTGAATCTCCAAACACTCGCATCCTTCTCTGAGCCGGGAACAGCTGTTCCGGGCGGGACGGAAACCAACACCAATCTCGGGTAAGCCCCCTTCGGAGCAGGCTGTGGGGTGACCGTCTGAGTGGCTGGATGGCCTGTCCCTACTCCCTAGGAACTGACTCAGCCGAGACGGCGTACGATAGACGCCCATGCCCGCCCCCTCATATCTAACAAATCTCTCATCTCTAATCCCGTGGCCCAAAAATGGTCTCGCTAGGGCGAAAGGCCATGACCCATAAAAACAACAGTGGATGACGACGACTAGTGCGCCTATTCTATCCAACCAAGCGTGGACAAAATGTCGAGTCCACGTGAAGTCCTCCAGCATAGTCTGCGCCAGTGGCAGTGACAGTCGAAAGACATGTTTGCCAGTGGTCAGTGGTTACTAGTTTTTAAGGGAATTAAACATACGACCAGTCTTCTAGCCGCCCGCCATGCAGTGGACGAGTTAAAGCCATATAATGTTCGTCGGCCACCCGAGTGCCAACTGTGCCGACCTGCCTATACCGTGTAAAGTTCAGGACATGTGCGAGGCGACGAATTTTGTCGCGTCACGACTTACGACCCTCTTGTCATAGCCAATAAATATCGTCACCGTTGTTGTCCGTTGTTGTTGTTTTGACACTTTAGATAAGTATTTTTGCATTATTAGGAAATTGGAGCGATCCGATGCCATTACGAGCAGACGGTGGAATGTCACCTACAGCCTGGACCTGGACTCACAAGAAAACGTTGAGTGATACAATCGTTATACAATTAACCTTCGCCCCAGTGGGGGGGGGGGGGGGGGGGCGCGTACCGCCGCGCCGCTTGGGGTAGCTTTTGGTACATCAATTTTGGACAATGTGTGAGATTTTTGACCCCAGGTCATGTCAGGTCAGGTCACCAGGTCAAGTTAACTGACCAAGCCTAAAAAAAAGTTTGCAATCATGTCCAGCCTGCAGTGTTTGTCAGAAAGGTTTTAAACTTGGCGGATTGTATGCTGTTATGGGCGCCTACAATTTGTATATCTCGGATTTTTTATATCCGTGACCTAAGGTCAGGTCAGTGGCGTGACCTTTTCATTACAAGTCAATGGAGAAAAATGAAAATGCCTCTAGATCCGTGTGTACGCATAGGAACAGTCCAAATATTTCAGAATCACAATGATTTAGTTCACTCGTGATGACCAAGGTGTCATTTTTGCTGATAGCCTCTAGGAAGGTCATCCGAGGTCATTTGAGGCTACAAACAGTTTTGTACCAATAACTCGCGATTGGAAAGAGATAGAACGCTGGGGATGGTCTCATTGTGTTTGTCTTGTTGAGACGCATCGACTGATATGCAACATGACCTTTTCCGGTCAGGTCATGACCTTGACCTGAGGTCAAATTTTCAAGTTGACCTTTCGAGGTCAAATTATAGTTCATTCGACGCGTCTCGGCGAGGGGAACACGATGCTAGCAATAGAAATGTCGTGGCTTTTTGTAGTCGAAACTTATTGTCGAAAAACACTTTTCGTAAAAACAGCTATTTTTCGAGTTTTTGCCCTCTGGAGGCTGAACTGTTGACCTGAGGTCAATATTGATAATGGCCTTTTCAAAAGAAGAGTTCAAAAGCTATCGATTGCTGTTCCATGCGTTTTTCTAGCTACCATAGTTCCTGAGATAGCGGCATGTTTTCTGAAAAATATAATGAAAATTGGCAAATTTTGACCTTTGATGACCTCTGGTGACCCCAATATTGCTCTAAGGTGAAAAATGACCGAAATACTTTCAAACGTACGCATTGAGAGCTATCGACTGCTTTTTACCGCGTCTTTCTAGCCCTCTTAGTTTTTGAGTTAGAGGTGGGTGGTAACATATGCCCCCCCCCCCTCCCCACTAGGGCGAAGTTGGCTGAGACCGCCACTGGGGCGCGGGTTAAGCATAGGTACCCAACATGCGTAGGTTTTAGGAGTCGAACGGAAATACTACGACACATGTAGGTGATGGAAATGAAGTAAATCACAATGCCTCCCTCAAATGATGGATGACGGCCAACGGAGCCATAAAATTTCGACTAGGATTTTCGGAGAAAACAACTAAAAATGCAAAAAAAAATAACATCGCTCCTTAGGTTCATACAGACAAACAGCAAGGTCCACTCGGAACCCGCTCTTGAAGCTGATTTTGGTAATGTGAACTCATGAGGGTTTAGACAGTAAGAATGATCAAAGCTCTTTCACATTGACAGCTATGAAATTAATGTTCCTTTTACATTATTATTTAGATATCACAATGTGTCAAAAAGCAGGCACCATCATAGTGTCGGTGACACATATTCTGACTCGCTAAATCCGTCAATGTGTCAAAAAGCAGGCACCATCATAGTATCCGTGACACCATAGACGGTGACACATATTCTGACTCGCTAAATCCGTGGACAACACGATCATACTCTTCCACCACTTCCGCGGCTGATGGACGCAGCCGCGCAGGGACAGAGCGACATCTCTTGTGTATCCCGTGAAGTTCAAGTTTCAAATACTCGCCATCAGGCGCCGCCGACAGAAAATGATCACACACTGCAGCCAGCTTCCAAACGTCAGTCTTCTCGTCGTAGCCGGGCGGCTCACGCCCGTCGCGCCACCTCTGTTCTGGGGCAGCAAACTCTCCTTCGATGGGACGCCGTCCGCAGCGCACGGGCCCGGCGCTAGCGTCGGGCAGTGCGTCCAGATCAGCGACCACCAGCCAGTCATCAGCGGTCAGCAGCCACTGCTGCAGCGTCTTCTGGAGGTCATTCGAGTCACACATGACACGTCGGCCCGCTGGCGAGTTATGCAGGAACGCCAGAGCTTCCGCGTAGCTGCGACACAGGCGCAGTGCTAGGCGGGCGGCCGTCGCGCCGCCGGCTGTCCTCACCAGGTCTGCGGCCGCGCTGGCGTCACCTCGCCGGTGAAATTCAGTCACAATCACATCCCCGCAGAAGCCGACCAGCTGTACCACGTGCTCCGAGGGACTGAGCGAGCGCAGCATCTGCAGGCCGTGGTGGAAGTCTGCTCGCAGGGAGGGTTCGGCCAGTGCCGCCAGAGCCACCTGGTGACCCCGCCACAGGCCGCGGTACACGCTCTTAGTGCTGCCCTGGCCGACCTGCTCTAGGATCTCGACCTCGGCCAGCTCGGGACAGCCGAGCAGCGGTGTACAGGCTGACATTCCCGGCAGGCGAAACTCTCCGCTGCCGCAAGGAGACGGGTTCTGGCTGCGCCACCACGGCACAGCTACAGCGGCAGCGGCAGCGGCCACGGCTACGGCTACGGCCAGCCACGGCAGTCGACAGCGTACTGCAGCGCTCCCCACCGAGCCACGGTCCCCGGCGGCGGGCGAGCACGAGCCGTTAGCCTCGCACACATCCTCAATTCCGGTAGAACCAACACTGCCGTCCAAAGGCAAAACCGCATATGTCGGGTCAGGTCATGACCCGACATATGCGTTTTTGCCTTTGGACGGCAGAACACTGGCGATGCTAGCTGTGGTTACGCGACTTTTTCCGTCGCCTCCTGCGCGGCTTTCCCCTGCCGTCATCGCTCGAGTCCCCCTCCTGTGGCGGGACGAACGCCTCCTGTGGCGCCTCGTCCCAAAAGTACGCGGGCAGCGCGCGCAACACTCCCGCCTCGAACCACTGCACGGCTGTGTCGTTGAAGGCGGGAAGCAGATCGGCCTCGGCAATCCGTTCGGAGCGTTCCGTGACGTGCGGTGCGGCGCGCTCCACGAACGACACGAGTCGCAGCTGGCTGGAAGGCAGCCGGAGCGCGATTGACGCCAAGCTGTTACCGACCAGCAGCAGGCGGGGAAGCAGGTCCGGGTGCCAGTTGGCCCGCAGCAGGTTGTCGTAGTGGGCGTTCTCACAGTGCGGCATGTAGAGAACGGCCGGCGCGCTCAGCCGCCGCGCGCACTGCTCGTCCGTCTCCAGCACGTGCAGACGCAGCTCGCGCAGCAGCTGCTTCTCCTCGGGCCAGAAGACGGGGTCGAACACCTCGACTGACGGCGCGGAGAGGTGCTCGCGCAGCTGGAGCAGCAGTGCCAGCTGCCGCTGCGGCGCCGGGCTGCTCGCCGCGTGGCCCAGCCCGTAGCAGACGATGTGCGGGCGCGGAGCGTCGCCTCCAGACGGCCGCCGCTGCCGACTCAGACCCTCGTCCACAGCCGAGAGGAAACTGGCTAGGTACTGGGACGAGGCCAGGCGCTCCTGCAGCCGCTCCACCTTTCTGCAGGGCGAAGGAGAGAAATGGAGTGATTAGAATGGCTGACTCTGACCTGTCAGGTTTTTATTCATGCAATAACATGCACACAATAAAACGCTGCACAATACTGAACAGCATGCTTCAATGCCTGTGGTCCATGTGATTTATGCTCACTGTATTATTGCTGCAAGATCAATAGACTCTGGCTTCAGATCTACAGGTGGAGCAATGCCTTTTGCAGCCAGTGAAGCAGCAGCACTACTTGAATTCTTGTGTCGAACAAGAATGAAGCCATCCTTGTCAACTTGTGGCATCTCTAGCTGAATATATCAGTATCTGAAAAGAAATCAAACATTTCAAGCAAATACTTTTAACTTTTTACACTGAAATACCTAAGCAGGAGAGGTCCTTACTCCTTACTTACATCTTAAGAGCAGAACAAATACATAGTTTCAGACTGTATTGAATAGGTACCTAGAAATTATTAAATTGCATGGTACTTTCTCCATATGATTGACAATATAGTTAACCAATTTCATTGCTTCATCATAATTTCAGTATTATTGCTATTTTAAGCAAGAAAATATGCCCATTTGCAATTCTTCTTTCTGTAGTACTTTGAATCATCTGTCACAATCTTTTTTTTTCAAGTGTCACTTTCCAAAAATATTATATTAATTTACTGATCCAGGGTCCTGCTCACAAGTAAGTTTTTTGCAAGACACAATTTTCACAGAATGAATTTTCTACAAACAGATACATGGAAACAATGAATGGCCCCATAATATTCACCATGGAGAAACATTGGTGAAAAGTACCTGCAAAGCAGGAATATTACAAGTGGGTACCTAACCTACTACCTGCCTACTACCTTGACCTAGCAATCATATTATTTTTTATCACCTACCTATCAAGAGGAGAGGGAGTCAGAAGTACCTATCAACCAAGATTCTTACAGATAGTCTCAACCAGAATTAGACCTAGGTTAACCCTCGCCCACACATGGAGGGGGGTTGCCACCCCCCCCCCCCCCCCCAGGTAGTCTTTCTGCTTTGCACTCAACATTTTTAGAGCTAGAAGGCTGATTTTTCGTATAGCTGCTCTTCTATCCTTTCTTGATGTCCACTGAAAATTTCAAATTTCTGTGATTTTCGGTTTCGGAGATATGACCTTGTTTTTTTCAGGTCATGTCATGACCCAAATGGCCAATTCTCAACATCTTGCGTTTGCCATGGGCCTTGTGAGCTTTTGACATCTTGATTTTGGCCTTTTTGCCAGTCTTACCTCCCACCTATCATGGAACATGTTGGACTGTACAGTACAGGGTGTCAAGGTCAGGGTCAAGGTCAACCTAGATCATCTAAGATAATTGCATTTTAGGCAAGCTGAATTTACTTTTTGTGAAGTTTTTTGACCGCATTTTTGGTAAAAGCTTCTCAGATCATGATTTCATGTAATGTGGACACAAAAACAATCGGTGCACACATCAGTATACACACAGACAGACACAAACAGACATACAAACACATATAATTAACCCTGACCTAACTTAACCTGAAATGACCTCAGCAGCAAAAATCTGGTCGGGTAGTGTGACAAAGAGGTTCTAGCTGGCTTGGCACCAGAAAACAGCATCGTCATCGGTATATGATAAGCAGCGCACTTGATATCCAACGGTGACCCAAAACAGCAACATTTTTTAGTTTGACCTGACCTGGAAGGTAAAACTGGGTATCATTGGATTCGTCTCTTCCCCAAGAACCTTTTGGTTTGGTCTTTACCGCTAAGCTCTATCTTCAACAGGAACAAAATGGCGCGGGGTGGCAACCCCCCCCCCCCCCCATGTGCGTTCTAGGATGGGAAAATGACATGTGCGGGCGAGGGTTAAAGTCAGACCAGACCCATGTCAAAGTAGCAATGTCCAATTGTCGGTATCGGTAACCCTGGCGTCACCGGTAGCGTTTTCGTTCAAAGTTAAGGTTTCCTGTATTAGGCCGCCGTGCCAAGCCGAAGCATGCTGTGACGTCACTGGGTAGGAGAAGGTAACTTACCACGCTATCAGTATCGACTGAGACTCAGATAGACTCAGACCGACTCAGGCAGACTCAAACTGACTCGACCGACTCAAACCGATTCAGATCGACTCAGTCCGACTCAGGACGACTCAAATTGACTCAGACCGACTCAACCGACAACCGAATCGATTCCGATCGACTTGGACAGACTCGGGACGACTCAGGCAGACTCAAACTGACTCGACCGACTCAAACTGATTCAGATCGAATCAGACCGACTCAAACTAAGTCAGACCGACTCAACCGACTCAAGTCGATTCCGATCGACTCAGACAGACTCAGAACGACTCAGACAGACTCAGAACGACTCAGACAGACTCAGGAAGACTCAGACCGATTCAGATCGACTCAGACCGACTCAGATAAACTCAGAACGACTCAAACTGACTAAAATCGTTCCGATCGACTCAGACAGACTCAGAACGACTCAGAGAGACTCAGGCAGATTCAAACCAACTCAGGCAGACTCAAACTGACGCAGGCAGACTCGAAGACCGATTCAGATCGACTCAGACCGACTCAGATAGACTCAGAACGACTCAAACTGACTCAGAACGACTCAACCGACTCAAATTGATTCCGATCGACTCAGACAGACTCAGGCAGACTCAGACAGACTCATGTAGACTCAGCACACTCAAACTGACTCGACCGACTCAAACCGATTCAGGTCTGATGATTCAGGTCACCGCTGGGTCTGTCTGAGTCGGTCTAAATCGGTTTGAGTCGGTTGAGTCTGTTAGAGTCTGACTGAGTCTGTCTGAGTCGTTCTGAGTCTGTCTGAGTCGATCGGAATCGAGTTGAGTCGGTTGATTCGGTCTGAGTCAGGTTGAGTCGTTCTGAGTCTAGCTGAGTCGGATTGAGTCGATATGAATCGGTTTGAGTCGGTCGAGTCAGTTTGAGTGTGCCTGAGTCGGTTTGAGTCTGCCTGAGTCGTTCCGAGTCTCTCTGAGTCGATCGGAATCGATTTGAGTATATCTGAGTCGATCTGAATCGGTTTGAGTCGGTCGAATCAGTGAGAGTCTGCCTGAGTCGGTTTGAGTCGTTCTGAGTCTCTGAGTCGATCGGAATCGATTTGAGTTAGTTGAGTCGGTCTGAGTCATTTTGAGTCGTTCTGAGTCTATCTGAGTCTGTCTGAGTCGACCTGAATCGGTTTGAGTTGGTCGAGTCAGTTTGAGTCTGCCCGAGTCGGTTTGAATAGTTCTGAGTCTTACTGAGTCGACCGGAATCGATTTGAGTCGGTTGAGTCGTCTGAGTCAGTTTGAGTCGTTCTGAGTCTATCTGAGTCGGCCTGAATCGATCTTAATCGGTCTGAGTCTGCCTGAGTCGGTTTGAGTCTGCCTGAACCGGTTTGAGTCGTTCTGAGTCTGTCTGAGTCGATCGGAATCGATGTGAGTCGATCGGAATCAATTTGAGTCGGTTGAGTCAGTCTGAGTTAGTTTGAGTCGGTCTGAGTTAGTTTGAGTCGGTCTGAGTCGATCCGAATCGGTTTGAGTCGGTCGAGTCACCTTGAGTCTGCCTGAGTCGGTTAGAGTCTGCCTGAGTCGTTTTGAGTCTGTCTGAGTCGATCGGAATCAATTTAAGTCAGTTGAGTCAGTCTGAGTCAGTTTGAGTCGTTCTGAGTCGGTCGATACTGATAGCGTGGTACGTTATCATCTCTTACCCAGTGACGTCACATCATGCTTCGGCTTGGCACGGCGGCCTAATACAGGAAACCTTAGCCTTGCACGAAAACACTACCGGTGACGCCAGGGTTACCGATACCCAATTGTCTAGTCCACCTCGTCGAAATTGCCATACTTTGCAGTCTGGGACTCCAAGCTTATAAAAAAAATACCAGCAACTAAATAAAATAATCATACCATCCTAGTAAACCAGTCTGCAAAACGTGGCAGGCTTCGACGAAATCTCGTCGGGGCAGACACCACAGGTTGGGGCAGAAATAGGGGCAGGTTTCAGGAAGATTGGGGCAGAAACAGGAAAATCTGGTGCAGAAGCTGAAGCTAAAAAATTGACACAGAAGTGATTTTCTCAGCTTCTCAGTTCTCACTGCTTCCTCCATCATTATATCGTTACATTATTTGCATCATTAGGGGCAGGAATTGGGCTGCCCCTGGACTCAGCATTCTGATTCGGGGCAGGATTTTGTCTGCCCCGAAAATCTTGTCGACCTCCCTGCCATGTTTTGCAGACTGGCTAGTTAACGATCTATCTACACAGGGATCTTGATCAAGATTGAGATCAAGGTATATAAAAACAATGACATCACTGACACAATCAAACATCAAGGTATGATTGAGATTACCCAAGTGACCCAAGCAAAGACCCAAGCAGACCCAAGTTACCCAATACCCACGCTCGCGCAGTCAACGCGCAGTTGAACCGCAATGCAATCAAGCCCGTTGGTACTCCTATTCTGGAATTGCTGCTTTTGGTCGGTAGCGAAGCAAAAACCATTTTTCTGACCAATCCTGGCCAGGTCTTTGTCACTAGCGTTCAGAAACGAAAATAACAGAACAAAATGATCGTCTCAACTGCGTCGCTTGCATTACGCAATTTCAATATGATTTGATTGACGTCACAAGAAAGCTAGTGCTTACATACATTCGGCCGTCAAAGAAATCAAATTGAAAGTGAAAATATATGCAAGATGGTCAGAGGTTCAATAAAATATTGTATGCAATGATAACAGAAGCAATCACTGACCAACTATGACTGTATAATTTCTGGCTGTCAGCTACCGGCAGTTAAAACTATGACGTCACCTTATAAAAAGTAAGCAATGAGGAGCACGCCGTCCGCATGCTTCTCGTGCTTGAGTACTTCGTTGGTACGTGCCTGGTTGGTACTACGAGTACTACACACCAACTACACACCACGGTGACTATAAATACACTAAACACTACTTGCGCACTACTCACGCCTCGGTCAGCACATGTAGGGCCTTGGTCCGTGCTATATACAGTATATACCGTGTGCTGCGGGCCGCGGGGGCGGCGCGCCGGTGTAAGATATTTGTTGGATGTTTATCTTCCAGTAAGGTACATTTCGGGACAAATTTTCGTCGAACAAATCTTGAGTTACTAAGGTGTCTTTGATCTCTTCAGGGATGATCTTCCAGTAGCCTGCGGCTGCGCACTTATGGGCAAGTGGCAACGGGGGCTCAGGTTGGATTCGAGCCACAACCTCGCGCTGACGAGGGGATACCCGCCCAGTGCCCCCCTATCTGCCCCTTTACCCGCCCACTACCTGCCCCTACCCACCCCTACCTCATACCTGCCCCCCACTATCTGCCAGCCGCTCCTTATCCACCTATTTGCCCCTGATCGGCCCCCTAAGATCCCTTGATCCCCATCACGGGGTGTTCACCTCGCCAATCGGATGACGGACACCTGTGTTTTTGCAGGTTAAGGTAGGTATGTCAGAAAAGGCAGCACAGAGTGGTCTTTTTTGGCACACCTGCTGAAGCATGTTTCCTGCACATGTTTTGAAAATTTAGACACCAGGACAGGTCCCTAAAGGGCAGGTCACCAGGTCAGATAAGATCAAGTCATCAAGTGACCTCACCTCACCTCAAACAAAGTTAGAATGTTTTTCATAGTTACACTGAGTACCTACTGCCTGAATGATTGCCTTGAAACTTTCAGCAGTTGATAAAACAGTGCTCCACTCATGCCAATCCATCATAACTCAATGGGAGAAAATTGAATGGTGTCTTTTTTGGATGAGCGTCATTCTAAACAATCATGCACAGACTCATAAGTGAGCATGACACGCTGAACTGAAAAATGGCACCTGTGACCCTTTCTTATGTCCCTGAGGTCATCTCAGGTCATGAGACGTCACCAGCAGTTTTTTGGCAATAACTTGAGTTGCTGGAGACGGGCTGAACAAAAACATCTTAGATGTGTTCAGGCAGACAATAAGGATTAACTAATTTGATCAACTGATACGCAACATGGCCCTCTCTGGTCAGGTCATGACCTTAACCTTATGCGATTTAAAAAAATGCTTTTCTAGGTCAAATTGTAGTTTATTTGTCTCATTTCAACATGAGGAACTGGCAAGGAGGAACTTAAGGCTCAACATTTGATCCTAGGTCAAATCTGAGAACTTATTCTAGAGTATGCATTGTTAACCCTCGCCGGCCGAGGGCGGGGGGCGGGTGCCGCCCCCCATAGGGTTTTTTTCGCGATAACTCCGAACACGCTGGCGATAGAGAGCTGAAACTTGGCATACCTGACCTTTGATTCAAGCCAGATCTTTTGACACCAACCGCATTTTTGGGTCAGGTCAGGTCACTGACCTATGACGTCATAAGTGAACATCTGCACAGTGTTCAGATGTCGCAAATTCGCAACGCCCTCACTGCCAGAGGAGCTTTCACAGGGAAATGAAACTTGCAGGATCTAGTATCCATTACGAGTCTCACAACTTGTTTATCTCGGATTTTTCCTAAAGTTCATATGAGGTCAGATCATTTTCGTGACCTCACCATTATAAGTCAATAGGGAAAAACAAAAACTGCTATTATGGCGCCGGGAACGATCTCCAACTATCTAAAGCACACAGAATCGTGATTTGATGCACTCCTTGCAAGGTTAGATGCGTCACTTTTGCAATGTTGACCTTGCGTGACGTCATTTATGACGTCATCAAGGTCATATTAGCTTTTCGTCAATAACTCCCGATCCAATTGAGCTAGCGAGTCGGGAAAGCCACCAATGGACTCAGGAAGACCTGCCGAATCGAATGATATGCGACATGACCTCTTTCGACCAACTTCGTGACCTGGGGGCGCTGACCTGACCGTGACCTGAGGTCAACACCCTAAGTTGACCTGACCCAAACAAAAAGTATATCATTCGACGCGCCTGAGCGAGGTGAACACGATGCTGCCAAAATCGTTGCTCTGCGGCCGTTTTTTTTGCGAAGTTATTCGCCAAAAACTGAACCGTACCCTGGGGCCCTTGACCTGAACTCAGAGGCCACCGGTTGACCTAGGACCTTAAAATCGGGTACCAATCTCTGCGTCTCGTAACGGCGCACACGCTCGTTTTTTTTCGTGACGCGCTAGCTCCACCAGGGGCGAAACGGCGAGGGGGTCGTTCGTACCCCCCCCCCCCCCCCCTCGGCCGGCGCGTATGTAGAAAACCAATAGGTCCGGCGAGGGTTAAAGTGACCATCCCACCTTAACATTAGTTTTGAGTTGAGATAGCCAAATTGGTGGCCATGGCCTGAAAATACCGGTTTGGGCACTCATAACATCGAAAAATGCTTTAATTCGGAGATATGGAATTTCAAACTTGCAGTTTTCGGATTCTAAGGGGCTAATGCATTGGTGTGCCCCCTTAGAATTTGTGACGTCAGCGGAGATATAACGATTTTTAAATCTTTTACTAAAACGTTTGGTAGCACGCGGTGGTATATGCTGCTTTGCGCGCAACAAATGCCGCACTTTCAAATAAAGTCGCTAGGAACAGCGGAGATCCCAAAAAGTAAACAATAGTAAAAGTCTAATACCTTGAAAATCGGTGAATATTTTTCGATGAAATTTGGTAGATATTCGTTTTCGCTCTTTCTGAACCGAGCGACATCACTTTCATGCCAATTCATTAACATTTTTGAAGGTGGGAGGGTCCCTTTAACCCTTGCTGGCTGAGAGAGGGAGGTGGCTGTTGCCCCCCCCCCCCTGCCTTAGAAAATAGTTTCTCCCGTGATAGCTCCGAATACAGGGGCGCCACGATCGGCGATAGAGAGCTTACATTTTGCATGCCTGATCGTTGATTCAAGCCGGATCTTGTGACACCAACCGCATTCTAAGGTCTTGTCAATGTCAGGTCACTGACATATGGCTAAGTGAATCTTTGCACAGTCCGAAAATATTGCGACTTTGCAGTGTCTTCAGTGCCAGAGGACTTTTCACAGATAAATGAAATTTACATTACCTAGTATCCTTCTAAGATCTGACAACTTGTGTATCTCGGATTTTTCGGGTCAGGTCGGTCGGTCACGTGACCTCGCCATTGTAAGTTAATGGGGAAATATGGAAACTGTTACTTTGGTGCCAGAAATGATCTTAAAGACCTCAAGCACAAGGAATCGTAATTTCATGCACCTTAACCCGCGCCCGGCTGGGGGTCCTGGATTTCCACGCCCTGCTGGGGTGGGGGTGTCTGACCCCCCCCCCTTCTAACTCGGCTCCTGGGCCACGTAGCGATACGCGGAAGGCGGCGTTCGAAAGAGCGTCAAAAATAATGACGTAATCACTTCGGTCAATTTTTTGGTCAGGTCAAAGGTCAGGTCACCAGAGGTCATTGAAGGCAAAATTTTGCCGATTTCCAGGTCGAATGTCGACAATTTCCAAGAAGCCAACGCATAACTCGGGAACCAATAGAGCTACAGCGCCGCGGAAAAGTGCATTCGGTAGCCCTATTAACGCCCTTTCTGAGTAATTCTCTCAGATTTGACCTAACGTCAACGGTTTTGCCTGCAGGGGACAAAAACTGCAAAAATAGCCGATTTTTTCGGAAACAGTTTCTCTGCAATAACTTTTGACCAAAGCCTTGTACGAGCTTACTTTTACCGACATCGTGTTCCTCTCGTCAAGACGCATCGAATGAACTATAACTTGACCTTGAAAAGTCAACTTGAAAATTTGACCTCAGGTCAAGGTCATGACCTGACCGGAAAGGGTCATGCTGCATATCAGTCGATCTGTATCGTCGAGCTGAACACATCTTAGGCGTTTTCATCGCTCTAGCTGCCTCTATCAAAAGTTATTTGCGAAAAACTGTTAGATACCATTCGTGACCTAAGATGACCTCAGGGGCATAAACAGGGGTCACGGACATCATTTTCAAGTTCAGTGTGTCTAAACCACTTGTAATTCAGTGTTTGGGAGTGTTTACAATGTCATTTGTTCAAAAGAGGCGCATTTCAATTTTCTCCCATTGACTTATAATGGGGAGGTCGCAAAATTGACCTGACCTTAGGTCATCGATATCAAAATTCTGAGATACACATTTTGTACATGCTATTGCTCTTGGCAATCACTGAAAGTTTCAAAGCGATCGGTCACTCGGTGTAGCTATGGCAGACATTGAAACTTTTTATGAGGTGAGGTCACTTCAAGTGACCTGGTGACCTGACCTTGAATGACCTTGGTCTGAAATTTTCACATGTGTAGAACTGATGTATGATAAGTTGTACCAAAAACGGCGGCGCTCCGCGCCGCCGTTTTTGAGATATTCGCGAAAAACCACAAGGGTTCAAACACCCCCCCCCCGAGCAGGGCGCGGGTTAAGTTGACATCACCCAAACAAAAAATCGTACGACGCACATCAGCATGTAAAACGTGATTGTGCCTGAATCGCGGCTCTGCGACTTTTTTTGCGAAGTTTTTTTTTTACCAAAAACCGAACCCGTACTTTGAGGCTCTTGACCTGATCACAGGGGTCGCGGCTTGCATTGGGTGAGATTTTAAAATTTGGCACCAGTCGCTGCGTCAGGCGTCTCGCAACGGTGTACACGCCCTTTTTTCTACGAGGCTCTAGTTCAATTGCATGCGAAACGGTGAGGGGGGTCCCACCCGCCCCCCTCTCCCTCCCCCCTCTTCGGCTGGGAGTTGGGACTGTGTAGAAAGCCAATAACCAATTGGGTTAGATCTGGCGAGGGTTGAAAGAGCTATTGAATGCGCCTTTCCGTGGCTCATTAGGTAGTTGCTGCGTGGCGCAAAGCCGAGTTAGAGGGGGTTTTCAAACACCTTCGGCCCGGTGCGATTGGCGCCGAGCACCGGCCCGTCGCAGGTTAAAGTGTTGACTTCAGATCGAGGTGAGCCACTCAGGTCGCTAAGTTGGTCAAAGGAGGTCATATCGCAATCATTCGATTTTGCAGTTCTTCCTCAAGTCCATTGGTGACTTTCCCAACACCAAATGAGGTACCTTGCTGGAAGATTACCGTTCAAAGTTCTGCTTTCCTATCTTTGTGTCCAGTGTTGATATTCAACAAGTATTTTGACTTGACCTAAGCCTCCCGCAACTTAGGGAACTCGGTCATTCTTGAAGATGAATAGTAAGTCAGATAAGAGGAAAGGTTCAGGAAAAGGCAAAAGTGTCTCTAAAAAGTCAAAAGGAGACTTGAAGAAATGTCAAGTTGATTTTTCAATGAACGAAGACTACGTGTCTGATGCTTTCAAGCAGCTGTTCTCGAAGTTCTGGAAGGGCGAAGCCGCCGATCTGACAGACAGCTCAGCAGTTGGCTACAATGAGCCATTCCGCTGCTGCCAGCTGCGGAACTTCGTCCAAGATCCAGCGGGACTCCTACGGGATCTCCGAGATCAACTGCTCGACCTGGAGTTCATCGAGAAGAACAACGACCTGTACAAGTTCGAGCAGTCGGATGATCTGAAGAACGCGTCGTTTCCGGCCGTGGCGGGCCTGCGCCGGCTGCTGACCGGCCCCCTGCTCGCCTGGCTCCGCGAGCTCACCGGTATCGCGCTGACGGATACCGTCGCGAGCACCTGCTCCCGGTACCAGTTCACGGACGGCCTGCTCTGTCACGACGACGAGCTCGAGGGCCGCCGGATCGCCTTCGTGCTGTACCTGGTGCCGCCCTGGGAGCAGGGCGATGGAGGTCTGCTGGATCTGTTCGATAGGGACGAGAGCGGCCAGCCTCGCGCTGTAGTGCGCTCCCTGGTCCCGGCCGACAACACGCTGGTCCTGTTCGAGGTGACGCCGGAGTCGTTTCACCAGGTCTCCGAAGTACTGTCTGACGACAAGTGTCGGCTCTCGGTAAACGGCTGGTTTCACGGCCCACCGGTGGCCCGTCCGCCTCCACACGTCGAGGCCCGGCCGCCACCCCGGCCGCCGAAGTCCGTGGAGGAGGAGACTGTGTACGCCTGGATCAACCCCATCTACCTGGCTGAGGAGACACAGCTGGACATCCGGCGCCAGTTCGAGGCCGACTCGCAAATCCAGCTGGAGGACTTCCTGCTGCCGGACAAGTACGCGGCCGTGACTGCCGCGCTGCGCGAGCTGCCCCAGTGGGAGGCGGTCGGGCCGGCCAACCGGCGGCGCGTCGAGCGGTGTCGGCTGGACCAGCTGCCCGCCGAGGCGGCGCAGTGTCTGGCGCTGCTGGAGTCCGAGGCGCTGTTCCTGGTGCTCAGCCAGCTGACCGGTCTGACGCTGCACCGACTGGCCGCTGAGCCGACACCGGAGGAGGGGCCGGCCTCCTCCGCCGACAGCGCCGACGACGACAAAGACGGCAGCACGGCAGTGTGCCGGACCGAGGTGCGCCGCTGGAGACCCGGCTGCTACACGCTCGTGCACGACCACGACGCGTCGCAGCGCGAGGAGGCGCTGGACGCGCGCCTGTTCCTGGGCGTGGAGGATTGGTCGGACCACCTGGGCGGTTTCACGTCCTACCTGGCGCGCGGCGAGGATACTGAGCTGCTGTCGGTCAGCCCCGTACCGAACGCCCTCTCGTTAGTGTACCGGGACGACGAGACGGTCCACTTTGTTAAGTACATCAACTCGCAAGCGAAGAGTAAGCCGCCCTTTTACGATGTGGCATGCACTTACTATGAGTGATGACTGTGCGCACTACTTTGCGCAGTGCACTTTGTTATATCGCTGGTGAGCCTTTCCTGTGGGCTTTTTGTGAGTTTTGAGGTGTCAAGGTGTCATTTTTAAGAAAACCAGCAGAAGAATAAAGGTAAATGAATGTTAAAAAAATATGCAACATGTTAGAGCGTTGGCACAATGTATTGGCTCATCAAACCCGCATTTCGCCTTTTTTAGATTGTTTACTGGGTATTTTTTTGCGTCTCAACTTCGGCTTACTTGGCTTCCACTCATATCAGTGCAGGTGTGCGTGCTATAATAAATTAGAATGCCTAATACTGTGGCTTTTATGCCATTCGCTGGCACATTTCATATTTGATGTAGTGTTAGGTGGGATAGCAAGAGCCTTCGATGAGGCTGTTTTATAGGGATCCTGGGCGGAATCTTGCGTTGGGCTGACTCCGGCTCGCGGATAACATTTGGTAGCGGAACTCTACATATTTATTCGTTTGCAAAACGATTCACTAGGCCCCACGCTCATTTTCATGGCCTTGAAGATACTCACCAACTAAGGACTACGCTCACCATACTCACCATCGAGCACCATACAGCACCTATAACTGTCGGGCGTCGCCATCTAAAGTTGATCGGTCCACAGCCTGCAACTCATTGCACATCGGTCGAACTTAGAACCACACACACTTTGCTCTTGTTCATATGCAGCCGAGGATTGTACCTAGTCCCGATAAAGCGGGCCGACAGGGAAGGGTATCGAATCGTGCGGATGTCAGGTCGCTGTCGGGGCGTCAGACGCAACGTTTTCATTTCCATAAACAGTGGACTTTTTTCCTTAGATCGTACTCTGTTACCTAAATCGTTTCATCGGAGCTTACGATATGAGGTTCGGAGATGGAATGTGCTATCTCACACAAATAGATGGGGAGTGTGGTCACTGGTCGTTATAGGGTGGAGTGGGGTCTGAGTTAGGAGTGGGCCTCTGGGGCCTTTGGGCGACAATAGCTAAGGGCGAGTCGTTTCCTAGTGAACTTGGGATCAGGGTAAGGGGCGATGATGGCGGGATACTGGTCCGCAGTGGGGCGAGGTGGACGAAGATCCGCGAAAAAGAATGACGAAAAAGATCGCGGTCCATAGGCGCGTAGGTCTAGATTGATTATCATCAAGATTGGTGGGATCGTTCTCATCGAGTTTCGAGATAATATCACACGGGACGAGTAGGTAATCGTTCGCGATTACTCGCTCGCAATCACAGACGAAACGGTTGGAATGTACGGGGAGCCGCAGTTGCTACTGTACAGCGACCCTGAGTAAATTGTCCCAGCACTCTCACAGGGAACAACGATAAGCTGTCAGAGGGCACGCACTGAAAACCTCAGCTGCTCGTACAGGGACCGGCAGTCGATATCATATTATCAATGTTATCGGTCGTTACTGGACAGGACAGACGGTGAGACTTGGGGTTCGTGTACAGTAGTAACTGCGGGTCCCCGTACCTACATTCCGACTACCAGTAGGTACACGACCTATCGGCACTGAGCGTTCTAACGTGATGGTTGATCGGTATTGCATTCATAGGCGCTGATCTCAAATCGGCCGTCAGTTTCTAAATTTTTCGGCAACACAGTGATCGGTCCGATTGGACGGTCGGGATCAGTTTTTCGCGTCGTAGCGCCGGCACTGGGCCTCTGGCTCACCAATCCGTCAAACATGTGTAATGTTCCGGAGTGGACTCATGTCTTTTTCAGAGTCTCGGCTTACTCCCTTTGCATGTGAAGATGGAGGAGTCCAAAGTTTCATCTTGTCCCGAAAATTTGGTGAGTGTTGTTAACAATCAAGTTAATTGTTCGCTGGTGTAATGTGTCTTGTTTTAAATTGGTATGCCGTCATGTGATATGCGATATTAGATATGAATTTATGCAGAATACCAAACCACCCTGATCCCAGCCTGTGTCTATGTTGAGGTGAGGTCGGAGCAGGTGTCGATGGACGCGCCCTCTGCTGCGGTATGGTGAGCTAATCGGTCTTCTTCCACCGCAGGAGGAGGCGGGACGGGCGTCCGGCTGCCAGGGCTGTCCGGGACAGGCGCTCTGCCAGTCACAGGGTGAGCTCGCATCAGTTCAAATATAATATTTGACATTGTTTTCCCATTCGCTCGGACCAAACTTCGTTATCTCTCCTTGGTATTAGTTGCAAGTTTCGCAATTCGCTATAAGTCATTCATCAGCTCACTTTTTATCACGGTTTGTGTATCGGCTACTAATACTTACTTTACTCCGCTGTTGTCATATTCACGTAAATCGTTTACCCCACTGCTACTGGCCATATGTCTGTATATGCTGTATGTGTATTGTTGTGCTGATTGTATGTCTGACTGTATGTCCATCTGACGTCACCGTCATCAGCTGGTCGTGATCCGGCGCAGGACGCACTCAATATCCGCATGAGAGCCATCAAACACAAGGTGATCGTGATGTCCGGCAAGGGAGGCGTCGGTGAGTGGATGTCATCGGTCAGGAACCGAGCGATGGCTGAGTGTGAGACGTCCGGTCCTCTGGAAAAAAAAACGATAGAGTTGTGTTGTGTCGTCTGACGGTGCTTATAGTACCATTCAAGTGCTCATGGTACATTCGTTGTGGTGCCTATTGACATATCTTATGCCCTGATGATTCTCATGAATCGATTTAATTTTGCATTACTTAAATTCAGAGTACTGTGCCGTAAATTATTCTACCTTTCTTGTCGCATTAGTCTCGTAGCCCACTCATGGTACGGCCGCCGTTCCGCTCAGGAAAGTCGACCGTCGCTGCCTGCCTGGCTGCCCGGCTGGCTCTGCGCGGCGCCACAGTGGCCGCTCTGGATACCGACATCTGTGGTCCCAGCCTGCCGACGCTGCTGGCTGTCAGCGATCAGGAGATCACCAACAGCCAGTGGGGTTGGCTGCCGCCCGTGTGAGTGGTTCGACCGACCGACTGTCGGGGATCTCCTGAGGATGAGTGGCTGGGTCTCGGACCCGATCCGCAGTCGGATTATCTGAGTAGGCTGACTTGCATAGGTTTCGATGCTCAGTAACAGTATTCTTGTCAGATTTCCACGGTGAAGCCTTTGTGTTACGTTTTTGTTACGTTCCCTGTCATGTTACGTAACAAAAATCGTTACGTGTTCGCGTTACAAACGTATCACGTTCCCTGCCATGGCCCATGGGATGCTTTGTCATGTCGCGATCCAGGTCTAGGTCTCGGTATTAGCATTCCATGGCCCATCTCAGATCCCTGTGCTTACATCTACCGAAGTCGGCGCAGTCTTCTTGCTGAGGCGTTTTGGTCCATATTAGGACGCTGTACCGATAATAGGTCCCGTTCCACCCCAGGTCGCCCTGCTGACATGACCCGTCCCCCTCAGGTCTTCTTCCTGGCATGCCCCGTTCTCCCAGGTATCCATGCTGCCCCCCCCCCTCAGGCAGTGGCGTATCCAAGGGGGGACCCTGGGGGTCCTAGGATCCCCCCTGGAGCAAAATTTTTTTTTTACTCGAAAAAAATGAAAACACTTTGAGGGCCCTTTTCACCACTTACATTTTTTACATAATGAAAAGTATCAATTACATTTTTAGGGACCCTTTTAGGACTATCAGAGGACCCCTTTAGGCCAACGAGGGACCTTGTAGAGTAAATTAAGGGCCCTTTACAACGAACAGGACCTTCTCAGGCACACAGAGGGCCCTCTCAGACACACAGAGGGCCCTCTCAGGCACTCAGAGGGCCCTCTCAGGCACTCAGAGGGCCCTCTCAGGCTTTCAGAGGGCCCTCTCAGGTACTCAGAGGGCCCTCTCAGGCACTCAGAGGGCCCTCTCAGGCTCTCAGAGCACTCAGAGGGCCCTCTCAGGCCCGAGGGCCCTCTCAGACATCTCGAAGAGGTCGAAAAGAGCCCTCTGAGGTCAAAGAGGGTCCTCTGAGATAAAAAAGGGCCCTCGGAGGCAACAGAGGGCCCTCCGATGCAACAATAGAGCCCCCTGTGGTCACCAAAGGGCCCTCTGAGGCGAATAGGGGGTCCTTTTAGGCAAGCAGAGGGCCCTTTGAGGCAAACAGAGGGCCCTCTGAAGGGGCGAATAAAGGGACCCTCTGAGACGAACGGGGGCCAGAGCCCAGAGGGCCCTCTCAGGCACTCAGAGGGCCCTCTCAGGTACTCAGAGGGCCCTATCAGGCACTCAGAGGGCCCTCTCAGGTACACAGAGGGCCCTATCAGGCACACAGAGGGCCCTCTCAGGCTCACAGAGGGCCCTCTCAGGCACACATAGGGCCCCCTCAGGCACACAGAGGGCCCTCTCAGGTACACATATGGTCCTCTGAGACACACAGAGGGCCCTCTCAGGTACACAGAGGGCCCTCTCAGGCTCACAGAGGGCCCTCTCAGGCACACATAGGACCCCCTCAGGCACACAGAGGGCCCTCTCAGGCAAACAGAGGGCCCTCTCAGGCAAACAGAGGGCCCTCTCAGGTACACAGAGGGCCCTTTCAGGCACACAGAGGGCCCTCTAAAACACACGGAGGGCCCTCTCAGGTACACAGAGGGCCCTTTCAGGCACATAGAGGGCCCTCTCAAACACACAGAGGGCCCTCTCAGGCACACAGGAGGCCCTCTCAGGCACACAAAGGCCCTCTGAGACACACAAAGGGCCCTCTCAGACACACAGAGGGCCCTCTCAGGTACACATATGGTCCTCTGAGACACACAGAGGGCCCTCTCAGCCACACAGAGGACCCTCTCAGGTACACATAGGGCCCCCTCAGGCACACAGAGGGCCCTCTCAGGCAAACTACACAGAGGGCCCTTTCAGGCACACAGAGGGCCCTCTCGAACACACAGAGGGCCCTCTCAGGTACTCAGGGGGGCCCTCCCAGGCACACAAAGGGTCCGCTAAGACCAGCAGAGGGCCTGTTAAGACGAACAGAAGGGCCTCTGAGGTACGAGGGTCAATTTCAGGCCACAAGGTATCCTATGAGGCCACCAGACGGCCCTCTTAGATCAAAGATGGTCCCTGGAGGTCACCAGAGGGCCCTCTGAGGTGAACAAAGGGCCCTCACAGCCACCTCAAAGAGGGCCCTCTGAGATCGAAGAGATCAAAGAGATCAAAGAGGGCCCTCTAAGGCGAACGGAGGGCCTTCAAAGGCCACAAAGTGCCCTCTCAGGCCACTGGAGGGCCTTCTGAGGTGATATGATGCTATGTCAGACCACCATGAGCCCTATGAGGTCATCAGGCCCTCTGAGATCAAAGAGGGTCCTTGGAAGTCATCGGAGGACCCCTTGAGGCCCCTTGAGGCGAACAAAGGCCAGAGGGCCCCCTTAGACACCACAAAGAAGTAAAAAAGATCCCTCTGAGTTCAAAGACAGCTCTCTGAGATGTAATAGGGCCATTTGAGGCCTCTGAGGGCCCTCTGATGCCACAGAGAGGCGCCCGCTGATACCAAAATAGGGTCCTCTGAAGTCTGAAGCCACCAGAGGGCCCTCTGAGGCGAATAGCGGGTCCTCACATCCACTTCAAAGAGGGCCCTCTGAAAATCAACTGGCCCTCGGAGTCAGTGTCCCAAAATTGTATTTTGGCTTGGGTGTCAGAGGGGGAAATAGGTCACCCAAAAGGGGGATAAGAGTGGACAATTGTCAGTCACAGGGCAGCCGGAGCCCTCTGAGAAGGTCACTTGAGCCTTACACCAGAGGGCCCTCTGAGGTGATATGAAGGCTATGTCAGGCCACTATGGGCTCTATGAGGTCAGCAGGCACTCTGAGGAAAAGGCTGGCCCTCTGAAGGGAACAGAGGGCCCTTTAGGACAATCAGAGGACTTTTGAGGCCAACTAGGGGCCTTAAGAGGTCAACAAAGGGCCCTTTGGGACACAAACAGGGCCTCTCAGGCCACCAGGGGCCTCATGTATTAGACAAACATACGGCCATCTGAAGTAAAAGAGGACCTTTTGAGGTAAACAAGGGCCCCTGGAGAGAAAACAAAGGGCCCTTTCAGGTACCCAGAAGGTCCATGGAGGCCACTAGAGTGCCCTTTGAGGCCAGTGATGGTCTGCAGAGGCCATCAGAGGGTCCCTCTGAGGGTAACAGAGGGTCCTTAAGACGACCAGAGGCCCCCCTTGAAAATGCAGGTGTCACAAGGCCCGGTTTGCATCAAAGGTCAGGTAGCTATGCCCAGTTTTGGCTCTCTGTTGCCGACGTGTTCCGAGCTGTCGCAAAAAAAAAAACGATGTGGTGGCACCCACCCTCCCACTCGGCCGGCCAGGGTCCTTCTAACCAGGGATGCGGAGCCGTGGAAATTTCAGACGTCTCCGGCTCCAGCTCTGGAGAAAAAATCGGATTCGGCTCCGGCTCCGGCTCCGAGTAAAATGGTCCGGCTCCAATACTCAGTACATCCTCTATATAATTAAATACGGGTGGAAGAGAAAAGATGAAGGATTGGTTCACGTTGCTTATGTATTTGCATAACAAGGCTATTTTGAATAGGTACCACATGTTTTACTGCCTTGTACTGTCAAACCGAACTAGGTAGGTCAATAATTTTTTCCTCTTCAAAAAAGCAGCCGGAGTCGCCGCCTTTTTGGACGGCTCCGGCTCCGGCTCCGGCTCCGGGCAATATATGCCGGCTCCGGCGGCTCCGGCTCCAGCTCCGGCTCCACACCCCTGCTTCTAACTCGGCTTTTGAGCCACGTACCAGCACGCCAAAGGCAGCGTTCGAAAGGACGCAAACAATAATGACGAAATTACTCTGATCACTTTTTAGATCAGGTCAAAGGTCAGTTCACATAGGTCATCCAAGGCTAAATTTCGCCAATTTTCTGGTCCAATTTCGACAATTTTCAACAAACCACCGCATCACTCGGAAATGAATGCCGTGTCGGGGAAAAGCGTAGTTAATAGCTCTTTTAACCCGCGCCGGGCCGGTGCTCTGAGATTCCGCCCCTGGAGAATGGGGTCTCCAGGGTAAACACCCTGTCTGAACACCCCCCCCCCCTTCTAACTCGGCTCCTGGGCCACGTAGCGACACGCGAAAAGCGGCAATCGAAAGAACGTCCAAAATAAGGACGAAAACACTAAGGTCATTTTTTGGGTCAGGTCAAAGGTCAGGTCACCAGGGGTCACCAAAGGTAAAATGTTGACTATTTCAACATTTTGGAAACTGCCAACGACTATCTCGGGAACCGATAGAGCTACAGCGCCAGAAAAAAGGGCATTCAATAGCCCTTTTACAGACCTTTCTGAGTAATGTTCTCAGATTTGACCTCAGGTCAACGGTTAAGCCTCCAGAGGGCAAAAACTCCAAAAATAGCCGTTTTTACGAAAAGCGTTTTTTCGGCAATAACTTTTGACTTAAAAGAGTCATGACATTAATTTTGCCAGCATCGTGTTCCTCTCGTCGAGACGCGTCGAATGAACTATAATTGGACCTTGAAAGGTCAACTTGAAAATTTGACCTCAGGTCAAGGTCATGACCTGACCGGAAAAGGTCATGTTGCATATCAGTCGATCCGCAACGTCGAGTCGAACACATCTAAGGCGTTTTCAGCGCTCTAGCACGCCTCTATCAGAAGTTATTGGCGAAAAACTGTTAGATTCTGTTCGTGACCTGAGATGACCTCGGGGACATAACGAGGGGTCACAGTTGCCATTTTCCGATTCAGTGTGCCAATTTTACTTACATCTCGATGTTAGAGAGTGTCTAGAATAGCGTTCGTGCAAATCAGACGCTTTTAAATTTTCTCCCATTGACTGATAGGTAAGGGAGAGGCCGCGATATTGACCTGACCTTAGGTCACCGATATCAAAATTCCGAGATTAACGTTTTATAGATAATGTTGCTCTTATCAATCGCTGAAAGTTTCAAGGCAATCGATCAATCGGTGTAGCTATGAAGAGCATTCTTATTTTTTTCTGAGGTGAGGTCACCTGGCGTGACCTGGTGACCTGACCTAAGGCGACCTGGGTCTGAAATTTTCACAACATGTGTGGAAAAGATGCAAAAACAGGTGTGCCAGAAACGCGCCGCCGTTTTTGAGATATCTGCGAAAAACCGCAGGGGGGGGGGGGGTGTTCAAACAGCCCCCGGCCCGGCGCGGGTTAACAGTTAACACCCGTTTCGCCGTTTCCATCCTCAGGACATTCAAATCCTTCTCCTCCATGCCGCAACCCATGATCCAGGCTGGACCTGGACGGGCAACTTTATACCATGCGGGCGGCTCCCATTGGAGTGCACTGCAGCTCCTAAGGAAGCACACTCGTAACCGGGTGCAGTGAGCACTTTGGGGCTGGTCGGCCTGTCCTGTTGAACAGGCTCAGCCCCGGTGACTCACCAAGGTGCCCGCCCAGACCAATGTCTCCCTCAATTCCTATCATCCTTCCGGCCCTGAAATGGTCTGGTCAGACCGAAAGGGTATAGCCCAACAAAACAAACAAAACTCTTTTGACACTCTTTCTGTAATTTGTGCTCAGCTTTGACCTAGGGTCAACGCTCCAGCCTGGGCCCAACCCAAGGCGGGGCTAAACTGTGCTCAGATTTGACCTAGGCCTGTTAATTGTACACCTTTTATCTCGGAACATTTTTACGTTTCTACAGCTCTGTAGGGCTGACAGCTCTTCCTGCGAAACCTTTTTTGGGTCGAAAATGGCAGAACATGGCGTCATTTGCGGCCAACCTATCATAGCCTCTGGAAAAAAAAATTGGTCACAATGTGTAAAATGGATGCCCGTAGAGGTCCTGAAAGTTCGGTGGGGATATCTGCAGTCATTTAGGAGATAGCTACGGAAGAGGACAGGGGGCCGTTTCGCCCCCCCCCCCCACGGGACGCGGGTTGAACGCCCTTTCAACTCAGGCTACAAGGGCCCTTTTGCCACTTAAGGGCCCTTTCAACCCAGTCAGTCAAGGGCCCTTTTGACTGCGGACCCCCCCCCCCCCCCCCCTGAGAGAAATCCTAGATACGCCACTGCCCTCAGGTCTTGATTCTAACATGTCTTGTTCCCCCTCAGGTCTCCATTCTAATGTCTTGTTCCCCCTCAGGTCTTCAGTCTAATATGTCTCGTTCCCCCTCAGGTCGCCCTGCGGTGTGAAGGTGCTCTCGGTTGGCTCAATGCTGCCCAGTGCTGACGCCGCAGTGGCTCTGCGCGGTCCGCGAAAAACTCACCTGGTGCGATCCATGCTGAGGGACACGCTCTGGGGACGCCTGAACTACTTGGTTATAGATACTCCGCCCGGTGAGTGTCTAACTAAGTTCCTGTCGAAAAGTCAGGGATGAGCTTCTAATCTACCGAAGGGTTCCGTCTCTTGTGGCCCATATTGCTCCACCACTGACCAGCTTACCTGTTCACATAACTGTAACCTGTCATGCCGGATGTATATAGACCAGTCTGTTGACCTGATGTCCAGTCTGGTGATGTGAAAGTGGCAAAATTGACCGCTGAATGTTAATCGCGAGCCGACAACCAGTGATGTGTGTTCTGTCATTTTCCGACCGTTGAGAACCGCCTTCCTCTCGGCCAGGTACCAGTGACGAGCACCTGAGCCTGGCCAGACTTCTGCGAGACACGCGGCCCGACGGAGTTGTGCTGGTGACCACTCCCCAGGATCTGGTCTGCGGTCAGTACCCCCACCGCGTCGTTCCTAGTGTGATATTGAATGCAGGTGTATAGGCCTGCTTTCAGTAGCATCAATATTTTAGGCAGGTTTGCTTGTGTAGGCATTCTTCAACGTTAGTGTTTTTTTTTTACATGTTTTTTCAGGATCGGGTTTGAGTCCCTATCAGAGGTTTTTGGGCCACCACTGTGCCGAGGCTTCTGCTGTCCAGTCTAGTTACTGCCCTGTTCTGTCTGGCTGCAGTGTTGGCTGTCCTATCCGACCGCTTGGGCCTTGGTGAGCTGTCCTGTTTGGCTTCCTTGTTGACTGTTCTTTCCGGCTTTTGTGTGGACTGTCCTGTCCGGCTATATTATGGGCTGTCCTATCCAGCGGACATGTGGATTGTCCTGTCTGGATAACACATGGACTGTCCTGTCCGGCTACCGTGACTGTCCAGGCCTGTCCTGTCCGACTGAGCGTGTGACCTCCACCACAGGCGTGGTACGGAGACAGGTGACGTTCTGTCGCAAGGTCGGTCTGAACATCATTGGCATGGTGGAGAACATGGCCGAATTCGAGTGTCCCTGCTGTAAGGTGAGGGAGAATGAAAACCTTTGTGGTTCTGTGTTCATGCCGACACCGGAGGGCTGTTCACGGGCCCTTTGTGCGGTCGGACCGTACACAGGCTGTAAGCTCCGCCCACTGCGTCCCTACGTCATCCTTCCGTCATCGCACACAGCGATCGCTGTGGTCGGCCAGGACCGGCCACAAGGGACCACACCCAACCTGTTGTCATTACCGCTTACCCATCCCCTACCCCCACGCCTGCTGCACACACCGCACACACCGCACTCAGCAGTTTGCGGCGCCCGTGAACACCCCTCGGTATTATAAAGTGTGTTTCATTTTATACGTAAAATTGTGTTTTAGAAAACATTTAGCTCTCATTCAGCTGTTGACAGCTTGAGATTTGCCAGCGAGTGCTGTAACTTTTATGAATTGCATGCGAACAAGCTCAGACATTTATCATATCCACGTAATGTAATTTCCGTTGGATTCAGAGCAGCCTGTACTCTCACATTATCCCCTCCTGCTCCCAGGAGCGCTACCCGGTGCTGGGCGGCACGGGCGCCGCGGAGCGACTGGCCGCCGATCTGGGCATACCCCTGCTCGGCACGCTGCCCCTCGACCCGGCGCTGGCTACCCGCTGCGAGAGTGGATCGGCTCACAACTGCCTCGGCCCGGAGTCGACTACGGAGCGCGCACTCGGGCGCATTGTTGAGAAGGTAGTGCGACACTGCGAGCAGTGATAGGGTAAATGTCATAAGAGTAACGCACTCAGTGCGAGTTGAATCGTTGATATTATACGGGCCAGTTATGACCCTGCTCAATGATGTTATTACCTACTGTGTAAATGTAGACGAATGCAAATATTAACGATTATATTGTCCCGGACTCGGGTGTAGGCGTATTACAGGAACAAATGCTCATTATATATTTGTTACATGGTTTATGTATGTTACCTCGGATAACGCGCATTCCATGACATAATTCCATGTGCCGAATTGCCTACTTTTGACACAACTTTTCAAAGAACTTTAACGGGTAGGTACGCTAGACGTATACTTAACATATATTGATATTCATAAAGATATATTTGTTATGAATGAGAGGCATGCAATAAATCTTTGATAACAACGAGTCTGTAGCGATGTGATGACAGTGTCCTGGTACATAAACAAAGACATCCAATGCAGGGATGTGTCGTAAGAGAACTTCTTCGTCGAAAGCATATCGTTATGCTTCTCACGTTTCTACCGGGATTTTAATTCAAGAAGGTAAAATAAATTTTTCTTCACCGCCTGCCAAGCCTGCGTGGCCTGCAGTTTATTCCTTGGTTTATTCCCCTAAAAATTGCATATGTCGCACCTGGAAAAGTTTTATGGCTATTCTCTATTGAAACTTGCCAAAAATAAATTATTTCTGCAATCTCGACATTGCGCTATCGTTTATCTACAACATGGAACAGCAGTAACAAATCTCCACAAATGAACGAAAATGCTAGTCTCTTTTACCCTAGTTTTCACCTTTACAATCAGACAGGCATCAACGCCAGACAAAGTGGATGTCACCTAGCGGCTTTGAAATGGCGCCCAGCGAAGCGTATCGTCAGTTCGTTTCACTGTCCGACGCTACTGCCGGCCCTGCTACTGACCCTGCTTCTGCTGCTGGTTCCCCCATTGGCTGTCGCCGATGTGGTCGCCTCAGCGCTGGGACCTCTAGGCGGCGTTCGCTACCACAACTGCTCCTGCGGCGTGCCCATGTACCCTGTCGGCGAGAAGTGGGACATAGCCACGCGGATCGTCAACGGCCAGCCGGCGCGCGTTGAAGAGTTCCCCTGGTTCGTGGGCCTGACGCGCACTAAGGGTTACAGCAGCGCGCCCATCTGTGGCGGCTCGCTCATCACGGACAGACACGTGGTGACCGCCGGCCACTGTCTGCTGCGCCACTCGGGTCTCTTCCCGGACACGACGTACGCCCTGGTTGGCGCCTGGGACTGGACGGACCGCTTCACAGCTCGCCGCTCACAGATCGTCAAGGTGTATGAGGGTCGCCCGATCAGCACGTTCGATTATGCCGAGGGCCACATCCCCGAGGGCGATGTGGCGATTATGGAACTGGAGCAGCCGGTGGAGCTGAACCCGACGGCCTACCCCATCTGCCTGCCCCCGGCCGATCTCACCCTGGCCAAGGTGAAGACGGGCGTGCTCACCGGCTGGGGACGCTTCGTGGAGGGCGGTGGGCAGCCGGACAAGGTGAAACGCACCTCCAAGACGCTCAAGATCATGGACTACAAGGAGTGCTCGCGGGTGCCGGCGATGCGCCAGGTGTTGCGGCGGTACCCGCTGCCGCTGACAGACAGGCAGCTCTGCGCGCTCGGCGATGACGAGGATACTTGTCAAGGGGACTCGGGCGGGCCGCTCATGTGGTACAACGAAGCCACCGAACGGTACCACATCATTGGTCTGGTCAGCTGGGGCGAGGGCTGCAACCGGCCCGGCATCCCGGGGGTATATGCCAACATGCTCAACCCCAACATCAGGAACTACGTCACCTGTCAGGTGAGCGGCGGAGTCACCTGCCGCGACTGAAGGACTTACCTGTCCAAAGTGACGCCTCTTTCACCTACTGTGATTGATAGTGTCGCCCACCGCGACCGGTGTCAGACTGATCAGCTCCAATATGATTGAATTGAGCTCAAAGGTGATTTGGGGACGCACACGCGCCTACCAGACTGCTGCTGAGGCTGACGTCCTCCAACTCTCTCTGAATCGCTTTAAATATACGCTATGGTGGACTCGAGCATCTGGCAGATCCTTGCGACAGTGGCGAAAGCAAGGCTATGACGAGAGCACCCTGTAGAGCTATCGGGAGAGCCTGTGGACGGTTGGCCGGTGTTCTTGGAATAGCCACTGGTCGTTCTGACGGATTTGGTTCTGAATCTTTGGGCGTGGAATAGTAGATGCTGATATGATTTGGACTATGATCATTTCGTCTCGTTTTTGGACACTCCTATCGTTCGGTCGCTCGATGCTGTGCAATGCATGCGAAAAGTTTTGATTTAGTGAGCGTATCCCAATAGAAAAGGTTTCTCAATGCTGCGCAGTGCGGCTATTCCTGCGCGTGTGTTTCTTCTCGGCCGTGTTGGTCGTCCTTGGGTCGTCCGTTTCAAGTCCGTTTAAACTCTCTTTTGCGTCGCGGCGGTGAAGCTTGTGATACAGGGTACTTTGCATGATTATAATTGATTTCACCCTACGATAAAAGTTGATTTTGAAAACGTTAGTTAAAATAATTCTTGTTTCCGTTTTCTAGTTTTATACGTACGTCGTTTGCATTACATTTCTGTGCAATGCTTCGCACGAGAAAATAAATACCAATGCACCGCAGACGGCCACGCCGCCACGTTGACCTGAAAATTGAAAGGGCTATAATGACTAATTCTTAGAATATCCAAAGCCATTCCCACAGCATCCCATGGGGCTTATGTTCAAGTTTTAATTTTATTGGCTGAGCTGGTCACTGGAGCCCTATTTATCGCAAGCCAATATAAAATAACAAGTTCTTTAATTTTTATTTGATTTTAAGGGTTCTTTTGCGTCGTTAGTCAAAGAAGCATTGGCATGATGTGCAGAATTGCCTGAGTTTGGAGGGGCTGTTTTGTTTTTTCTCCATCAGGGAATATTCCTCAGACCGTTGAGGCAGGTTTTTCCCAGATAGTGCTATTAAACGAGCACCGCAGTATCATGCTGTGTAGATTGTTGCTATAAATTGAAATATATTTGTATTTTGACCTATTATTTTTTTTCATTACATTGTTTATATTAAACACTAACACAACTTATTTATTGTGTTTCTTCAATGAAATCATAAAATAAAACTATGAAAAACCACTCATTGTTGGTGCGACTCATTCTATGTGAGGCAATTAGCCTTTATTATCTCCATTCTCTGTCCCCGGCCCCGCAGGTACCATCCAGAAGTCATGTCTTTCATACTGGGCCACGTGTCTCGTCTGGGAGCCAGTCGGCTGGGGCCACTGACTGCTTCTGTCTCGGCGGCCCGGCGCCTGGCCAGCTCTGCACCGCCCGCCTATGAGCACATTATCGTCTCGCAGCGCGGCGACGGCGGCCGGGTCACCCTCATCCAGCTAAACCGGCCCAAGTCGCTGAACGCGCTCTGTAGCCCGCTGATGAGCGAGCTGCTGGAGGCGGTGACGGCCGCCGAGCGCGACCCGGCCGTCGGTGCCGTCGTTCTCACCGGCAGCGACAAGGCGTTCGCCGCCGGCGCCGACATCAAGGAGATGCAGGACAAAAAGTTTGCCGACGTGTACCGCGGACGCTTTCTGGCCTTCTGGGGTGGCGTGGCCGACTGCTCCAAGCCGGTGATTGCCGCCGTGAACGGGTACGCGCTGGGCGGCGGCTGCGAGCTGGCCATGATGTGCGACATCATCTACGCCGGCGAGAAGGCCCGCTTCGGGCAGCCGGAGATCGCGCTGGGCACGATCCCGGGCGCCGGCGGCACCCAGCGGCTGACGCGCGCCGTCGGCAAGTCCAAGGCCATGGAGATGTGCCTGACGGGCGACATGATCGACGCGCAGACGGCCGAGCGCGCGGGCCTGGTGAGCCGCGTGGTGCCCGTGGGGGAGCTGGTGGATGCCGCTATCCAGGCCGCTGACAAGATCGCCTCGCACTCGCAACTCACGGTGGCCATGTGCAAGGAGGCCGTCAACGCTGCCTACGAGACCACCCTCCAGGAGGGACTCCACTTCGAGAAGCGCCTATTCCACACCACATTTGCCACAGACGACAGGCGCGAGGGCATGACGGCATTTGTTGAGAAGCGCAAGCCCAAGTTCACCGACAGCTAAGTAAGTGGTTGATGAGCTGTGCGAGGTGGGCACTGGGTAGGGAGGACTGATCCGGGTATAGTGGTTTGGGGACGCTTTTGTAGGGGTGCAGTAATGTTTATTCTGTTGTGACTTACTGAAAATTTGCTTGAAGCACTGCCCTTTTATATGAGAGGTTTGGGATGATGATGATTGCAAGTGGAGGTCGATTTTCATTCTCCTAAGGGAGCTTCTGCAATGTCTTGAAAGTTGTTTTATGCTGGCAGAGGGTCTTCTGCGTAAAAGGAAGCTTTTCTCAGTATCCCGGCATTCGTTAATGTCAGTGGCATCACAACGTCTATTTTGTCACTTTCGCAACCATTTGACCTAACGTTGAAGGCATTGAGTACTGAGTAGTGGGCGCAAGGCCATAGTGGACGCCATTAGCTCGATGGATCTAGCCCGCAATATGTTAACAGTAATGTGAAGTGATTTAATGGTGGATAGTGGATGCATTTTGGAGTAGCTATAGTAATCCAGATATGAATATATGTACCGGGAGTTCCTAAATAAACAGACGATTTTAAAAGTCATTTATTTCCAGTTCCAATGACAAAATCCAATGAAAACCATAACTGTTGTATAGCACAGTCAATGCTATTTTATATTGGTCTGGTCACTGTCTCACTGGCCACTCACTGATGGCGGCAGAGCACATGCTCCAGATGCTCTCCCTTCCGCTCCAGGCACAGAACGGCGCGGCTCCGTGCCGACTCCAGCGCGGCCCGGCATATCTCGGGTCGCACTCGGCGGACTGCACAGGTCACAGCTTCTTTGAGCTCCTCTAAGGTTCCCGGGTTGTTCCTGTACACCTGGTCCTTAAGGTGACCCCAGAGGAAGAAGTCACATGGCGTCAAGTCGGGTGAGCGCGCGGGCCAGCTGTGCACCTCTCCCCGTGAGATCAGCCTCTGACCAAAGCGGTCGCGCAGCCATTTCCGGGTGGCGCCGGCCGTGTGCGCGGTGGCGCCGTCCTGCTGGAACCACTGGCTGTCCAGCTGCTGTGTAGCGCCGCCCAGCTTCCGCCTCAGCGCAGTCCAAAACCTGCTGATGACCTTCCGGTACCGCTGTGCGTTAACCGTTACAGTGGCCCCAGCGCTGTCCTCGAACCAGAAAGGGCCAATCACGCCCTTGCTGCTGATCGCACAAAACGCAGTGCACTTGGCGCTGTGCAGAGGGGCTTCAGCGACGACATCTGGCAGGTCGGTCGACCAGAACCGAAAGTTTTGAGAGTTAACACGTCCATCGAGGTGAAAATTCGCTTCATCAGTGAACCAGATCTGGTGGAGAAAGTAGCTATCGTCGTCGCAGTTCCTCAGAAACCAGCCGCTGTACAGCATTCATGCCTGTTTGTCGGACTCCGTCAGTGTTTGGTGAACAGACACCTTATAAGAAAACAGCTGACAGTCAGTCCTGGGCAGCCGTTGAGCCGTTGTCTTGCTGCAGCCCAGCTCCTGGCTCAGCCGCCTCAGGGACTTGTTGGGACTCCGCTGGAGAGCCTTCTGGGTCTTTTCCACGTTGTCAGGTGTTCGTTTTGTCTTCTTTCGGCCGCATCGACCCTTCCTGAGGTTCTCAACACTGCCATGGGCCAGAAACTTCTCCACCAAACTCAAAATAACATTTCTCGATGGTGCTTTCCGGGTCTTAAAAAACCGCCGATATTTACGTTGTGTACCGACGATAGATTTTGTCTCAATATATAAGCGTATGACTTTTGTTTTTTCGTCTGTACTGTATGGTTTCATGGTGACAAGTGATTGAAACTGGATCACACAAAAAAGCAATGAACGTGCTTTCAGCACGTACACTTTTATTAACATAATTTTAATCACAGCCACCGCCAGAGGGAAATTAAATTCGTCTGTTTATTTAGGAACTCCCGGTATATGATATACTGGAACGTTTTCCATCGATATTTGATATTTAATCGCAACGGCAGCTGTTATGTCAATGCCGCTGTTCTCTGTAACAGACTCATCAATGATGATCAAGTTACGTGACGGATTTTCACGCAATGGTATGTATTCTGTATAGCGTGATGAAATAAATTTATTGACACTACAATATTGTCAATACCCCGTGCAACCTCATAATTTCGCCGTCTGAGGCTAATAAAAAAAAAATGGCATGCTGGGCAGGCTGTCCATTGCTGCATGAAATAGCACAATGATGGGCGATTCTGTGCCCTTTTATTTCAGACGCAATACAACGTTAGGTACTATTGGTCTCAAGATAAGGGTCCAGGCGGCCTGTAGGTTTGATGCGGTGAATACCCTCACCCTCGCCACAGCTGGAGTGGGGGTAGGGGAGGGGGTGCGTTCGGCCCGAGTCTGACAGCGGGGTCGCTCGCCGCAGTGTGGTGTCCAGCGGTGCAGTCGGAATCAGGCGGAATTATGCCGGCGGCGGTAGCCGGTCGAAGGGCCTGGCTCAGCCGCGTCTCGAGACGAGTTACCGAGCAGGGTGTCAGCGATAGATGGGGAGGGGTGTGGTCAGGGCGCTGTTTGATCACCAAATCAGCATGCTGTCAGTTTGCTGGCGTTTCTCATCTTCTCATTGGTCGTTGATGAACCACACGTGGTGTGTGCGATTGACCAATGAGAGACTATGTAAGAGACGCCTGTAACTGGCTTCCATATATTGGAAAACCGACAGCAAGCTGAAAACACGACAGTGCATGGGGCGCACTAGCTTTGAAGGTCGCTCCGCAAAAGCATTACTTTCCATAGATGAGGGTGACGGGTGTTACCTACCCCAGACTTCTTGCGATTGCTCTCAACAAGGAAACCTGAAAGCTGAAAAATAGCACACCTGATTTGATTCAAGCCGATTCTCTGGTGACACCAACGACCAATTACATTTTCAATTCTTGTCGAGTCACTGACCTATGACGTCATAAAAGACTTCACTCGGTCCCAAAATATTGCGGCTTGGCAGCTCCGCCATTGCTAGGTCAACTTCTGCAGATAAATAAAACTCACAGGACTTCATATTCTTCCGAGACCATGCAACTTTTATGTCTCGTAATTACGAGCGAGCGAGCGCAGCGAGCGAAGTGAGTCTTTTCAATATAACGGAAAAATCTCAGTATGAGCGGCCCGGCCCGGCCCGGCCCGGCCCGGCCCGGCCTGTAACGCTTTTGAGAGGCTTATATCTCAGCAACCACTGGACCGATTAGCCTGCGGTCTTTTTTGTTGGGTAGCGCCATCCCTTCTACCCCGTAATTGACTACTTTTGATGCATCTCAGTGACCGTCGTGGCACGTGCCACGTGAATAGTCAAGGGTGTTCAAGCTGTTTTGCAAAAGTAGTGATTTTGAGAGGCTCATATCTCAGCAGCCGCTTGGGCGATTGACTTGCGGTAATTTTTGTAGGGTAGCAGCATCCCTTCTACCCAAAATAGGATACTCTCGATGTATGTGGGTCACCCCCAGTGCACGTGCAAAATACAACAATAAGAGGTGCCAAATTTGTTCCCATTTCAGTAACCCGGTAATTACTGGGGCGATTTCGCTGAAACTTGGCATACAGGTAGGCACCCACCAGGCAATGCATTCCCATGTGTTGCGGTTAGGGTGCTACTGCACGTGCGCACGTGCAGGGGGCGTTTCCAGATCTCGAGAACGGCTGGGCCGATTGCGCTCAAATTTGGTACACGGTTGGGGACCAGTTAGTAGGGTGCCGTGCAAAAGTCATTTTGGACCCCGTTTGCACGTGCGCACGTGCAAAATGCCGCTTCCAGATCTCAGGAACGGCTGGGCCGATTGCGTTTAAATTTGGCACACCGCTAGCGACCGGTTAGAAGGGTGCTTTGCACAAGCCCATTGGAAGCACCCTCTCGCTCTTCCGCACGTGCAGGGCTCACTACCTCGCTCGCTCGTTCTTCGCCCAAAAGGCGTTTTACTGGTTTCTAGAAGTTCACGTAAAGCTAGGTCAATGACGTGACCTCCCTCACCATCATAATTCAACAAAGGAAATATTAAAATTTATGTTGATGACAAAAATGATTTACGACTATCGTTTGCACATGGAGTCGTGCTCGTGTTGCTTCACTGAACTCCTTGCAAGATCGATGCTCAACTTTTGCGTTGTGAACCATGTGCAACGTCATAAACGACGTTACATAGATATTGGAGTTTTTTTTTTGTTGTCATTATTCCGCACCGTAGACAGTGTTTACAACTGTTTCACGTGCAAAGAGAGAAAATTGTCAGATGTCGTTTACCTGATTTGTGAAACGTCTAGAAGTTTGTCTAGTCTGAAATATGCCGTATTTTTACATAAAATGTATTTTTTAACTTAGGTGACCGAAAGATGCCGGCGGTACGGGATATAGAGGATTCTTCATGGCTCCGAGTGGAAGATAAGGATATCTTTTCCAAGCGGGTTACTGAAAACCGAGCGACGAAGGAGCGAGGTTTTTCTGTAACACGCGAGGAAAAGATATCCGATCTTCCACGAGTGAGCCATGAGGAATCCTATATCTTTCTATGTTGAGGTTTATTCTTAATTACTAAAATGTTATATTTAAATGCATTCATCTATGTAAAAATAGATTCAGAGTAGTTTGTTCTTAGGTATTTGGTAAGTTTCATCCATTAACAATGTCGTTCGGTTGTTGACCCATCATCACTTGAACTCTTGATTTTTCGATATGAACCCTCGAGACCTTATCTTTGCATCTCAGAGGGATGCAGAGATAACAAATTCTTATCTTTGCATCTCAGAGGAGTGCGAGATAGAAATATCCCTGCACTGTAGACCCAATGGCAAATAAACCTCAACTAGAAAGATAAAATTATTAAACCACTCGTAGGTAGACAAATATTTTAAACGTCTCGCCTATCGACTCGACGTTTAACGCGGTTTACCTAATATATATTAACTACCGCTCCAACTGAAATACTACCGTTCCAACTGAAATACTACCGTTCCAACTGAAATACAAGGTGGTTATATATTAAACCGCGAGTAGGTAGAACAAATATTTTAAACGTCGAGCGGTTAGGCGAGACGTTTGAAATATTTTTCTACTTACGAGCGGTTAAATAATGTTATCCCGTACCGCCGATATCTTTCGGGCGCTTAATGATAAAGAATACATTTTATATAAAAATACGACATATTTCAGACTAGACGAAATGTTTACTAGACGTTTAACAGTTTGTTAATCGTCTAGACGTTTAAAAAATCAGTTACACCACATCTGATAAGTTTCTTTCTTTGGCTCTTTGCACGTGAAGCAATTGTAAACACTGTCTACGGTGCGGGATAACCGCATTTAAACATCCACGCGCTATCCTCTAAATTACAGGGTCATCATTAAAAGATGACATAAAGTCAGCCCCGCCAAAGGCGTACGACATATTGCATAAACAGCTCACCGTTGGAATGATAAATCTTAGACATTTTACATAGCACAAACAGAAATCAGTTGTGCCGCTCGAAGAAAACTTGCTTCTCCGTGCGGCAGACCTCGGCCAAGACCTTTGCTCCGTGCACATCCTTGTATGGAATCAACTTTTGTGGATTCTTCGGCGAAGGAGCCTGTATTATTCTTGCGGTTGCTTGCTGTAGCGCGAGCCACTTTTCGTCACTCAATATCACCCTTTCGAACCATTCTTCCGCTTCACTGAGCCGTGCGCCGAAAGGTGCACGCTTCCAGCCTCGACACCATGCTGTCAGGGGAGATGACGGTAATTAGGATCGGACGATAATGTTTCCAGTTCAGTTTCTTCTTGTGGATGATGTCCATATTAGAGATGTCAATAAACTACCAACTTTTTGGCATACCGATAGGTACCAAACCGATACCAACTTGGTATTTGGCGTTTCGAGGCTAACACATTTGGTATTTTGTTGGTATTGTGAATCCTCGCTACTGTAAAAGAGACTGTGACTTTGGTAAAAAATTGGCATTTCCCTGATATTCCCAAGTCGGCTCGGTTTCGGTATTTTCCCACGGTTCCTGTTGGTATTTGGTTTGGTATCGGTATCACGACTTTCTGTAATTGACATCACAAGTCCATATATTAAAAATGCCTTCCCAGGTTTCTTAAGCCATTGTGAACGTGAATACTGGACAGATTACTGAAGAATTGCTAGACTCTCTTCACCTTCGAGCAACTGAACAAGATCCCAGCACCCGCCCTGGTCACTCTGCAGTCTGGATTTTTCCTGCTTGGACTTCACCGTTTAACCTCAAGCAACTCAAATTGCTGAGCGAACTCAAGAGTCCAAGACCCTTGATGAACTGAACGCTGCCGTGAGTCGTCGAAGGCTTCGTCTACACGATGGCCGGCGATCATTTGGGGCTCCAGCGGGGGCTTACTTTACGTCATTCGCTAATGAACACCCTGCACTTGTGCACGTGACCTGACCTCAGAGGTCACATGCTGATCTGACACTTTTAACTTGATTGTGAATCGCTGGGTGTTGTTTTTGTTTGCAAGGCTTTTAGCTTAACCCGCGCCCTGCTGGGGGGGGGGGGGTGTTTGAACACCCCCCCCTTGTGGTTTTTCGCGAATATCTCAAAAACGGCGGCGCGGAGCGCCGCCGTTTTTGGTACACCTTATAATGCATCAATTCTACACATGTTGTGAAAATTTCAGACCAAGGCCATTCAAGGTCAGGTCACCAGGTCACTTGAAGTGACCTCACCTCATAAAAAGTTTCAATGTCTGTCATAGCTACACCGAGTGACCGATCGCTTTGAAACTTTCAGCGATTGCTAAGAGCAATAGCATGTACAAAATGTATATCTCAGAATTTTGATATCGATGACCTAAGGTCAGGTCAATTTTGCGACCTCCCCATTATAAGTCAATAGGAGAAAATTGAAATGCGTCTCTTTTGGACGAAAGACATTATAAACACTCCCAAACACTGAATTACAAGTGTTTCAGACACACTGAACATGAAAATGGTGTCCGTGACCCCTGTTTATGCCCTGAGGTCATCTTAGGTCACGAATGGTATCTAACAGTTTTTCGCAAATAACTTTTGATAGAGGCATGCTAGAGCGATGAAAACACCTTAGATGTGTTCAGCTCGACGATACGGATCGACTGATATGCAACATGACCCTTT